ACACAAACACTCTTTTTCCTTGATTCCCATCTTCCAGTCCCTTGCCAAGAAGCCAGGGGCACCCTGTCTCAGCTCATTGGGGATGATCCTTAATTGACTGAAGGGGTCATTTATGAGGAAGGCAAGGGATGCCTCCTTCAAGAGGCAGAGCACGCTAGCTCTTTGGGGCAGGAACCCTCTCTTTGTTATATGTTTGTACTGTGCCTGAAACAAGGGGTTTACACAATAAACACGCCGTGGGCTATATTATGCTGCCAGCCCCTGCCAGTCTGTGGGACGGCAGGCAGGCGGGGAATTTCAGACAGGGTTTCCTTCATGGCCCAACTGAGCTCCGACCCCCTTTCCTCCTAATACCAACAATCTGAAGAGAAAGCACCATTATGCAACCACTGTATGCCCTGACAATCAGGGAATGACTCCACTTCCCTTGCACTTATCAATTGCTACGGGATGGTCATTTCCCTCCCCCTATTGCCTCTCTTCAGCTACCCTCCTAGAACGTCATTGGACCAGACTAGGCACCCCAGGTTTTTCCTGGGACTCCAAGGTACAAGGCCGAAGTTGTCAAATCCCAGGACTGCAAGAGTGAGTGGTAAGTGTGTTAAATCTGAAATAGTGCACAAGAGGCTGGCACTGCCATGCATTCCGAAGTCTAGAAGTACCAAAGGGCAGAAAGTGTGTGCACTTGGTTGTGGGAGTAACTGATGCCCTCTGAAACCTGGCCAGGCTGGTGTGCGCACTTTATGAGAGTTGGAATGCCTCCCAGAAAACACCCCTACTCTTAGTTCTTCGTATTTGCTGCAGTAATGCTACTGTGAATCATTTAATTTCCAGTGACAGAAGGGCACGCCAAGAAGCTCTTAGCAGCAACATTTTGAATGAGCTTGAGAAGGTGTTTTGGTTTGGGAATTAGCCTTTACTTGAGATATGGGAGATCTACAAACAATCTGGATGCCCAAGTTTTCAGCTAACAAAGGGGTTCCAGCTAAAATCAGGTCCCTACCGTGCTGCACATTGTGCAGACAGACACAGTCTCTGCCTTAAAGAACATACAGCTTCAGTTTAAGATTAGTGGCCACTGAAGTGGGGGTAGCAAATAAATGGAAGGCTAGTAGAGGTGGGGGCTGGGCTGACAGTCATGTTAACACATTTCTACTGGCACTGTCTCTGTGCACAGTTTGACGATTGGGATGTGTGTTTAAAGGGTGACTTGTGACAGTAATGTTAACACATTTCTACTGGCACTATCTCTGTGCACAGTTTGACTATTGGGATGTGTGTTTAAAGGGTGACTTTTGAGCTAAATAAAGATACAATCAGTAACAATCTCTGTTCTCCACCTACCTGCTCTGTATCACTTGCCAGTGTCTGGCAGGATCACAGCAGGAGTGGATATCAAGGAGGGATTCGAAGGAGGATGGAGTAAGGACTTTAGGGATTTGTTTTGGGATGATATTTCACACCTAACAGGAGTCATGGATGAAAGTGTAAAGATGCTTTTGGAAGAAGAGAACAGGTAGTCCATGAGAGATGGCATAATCAGCAGAGGAAAGAGGGCAGTTGACAATACTATAAAGACAAAGTAAGTTGGCAAGGTGGAGTTAAATAAAGCAGTGAACATCCTTAAAGGTATGAATTAGGCACTATCTGATGGGATGGAGAAGGGGGAGCCTGCAAAGATATTTGAATGGGGGGGGGAGGAGGATGTGGTCAGAAGGGCAGGCCAGGATGCTGATCTAATGTGATGGAGAAGGGGGAGCCTGCAAAGAGATTTGAATGGGGAGGATGTGGTCAGAAGGGCAGGCCAGGATGCTGATCTTAGCAGCAACTTTTTGAATGGGCCTAAGAAGATGTTTTGGTTTGGGAAATAACCTGATAGGATTCTGTTCATAACTCCACCCCCAGCTCTCAGGTCCATTTGCTGATGTTCCAAACCAGTCAAGTCGTGATACAAACATTCCGCTGGGGGTCTGTACCGGGCCAGCTGTGAGAACAGCTCAATGCACATCACACAGCATGGAACCATTGTGACCAGGCCATTCCTGGAGTTTCCTTTTCATAAAGAGTACACGCTCTGTCATAAAGCTAAGTCTTGTGTCTCATTCCCTTTCCAGCCAAAAACTACCTCTAGCTTTCACTTACTCTCCTTGCCCATGCAGGGTCTTCTTTCAGGTGAAATCATTTCCTGAACTGTTTATAATACTTCTCACAACCTTCTTTTGGCAGTGGCATTATGAAGCCTGGAATGAATGCCATTTTAGGACCCACTGGAAGTGGCAAAACCTCGTAAGTGTGACTGTGTAAATCAATGCCTCTTGTGTCAGTTTTGATATCACTTCTATTGCAAAGAAGGAAGCAGGCAGAAATTCAATCCCTCCCATCTAGCACAGGGTGGGCTGGACTTCGCAGCTCTGGGTTCGGGTACATTGGCAGCATCTAAACACGGGGAGTAATTTCCCTCTTGCCACTGGAAACAGAGATACCTCTGGGACAAAACTGGTTCCTGAAGGCAGTTGCAGAGCAGAGCCAGGAAATTCAAAGCTGAATGAGCTTGGAGAGTGCCTTTGTTCCCTGGGGCAGAAGGCAGTGCATGCAGGACTGGGGGGAAGGGTACATAGGTTGGAGTGATATGGGAGAAGCCTTGTACTGAAAAACTGTGAACAGTCACTCTTCTCTCTTCAGACTCCTTGATGTACTTGCAGGATGGAAAGACCCCAAGGGTCTTAGAAATGGACAAATCTTCATGGATGGGAAAGCAGTAAACTCAAAATTGCACCTATGCTCTGCCTACATCGTGCAGGTGAGTCAAGGCAGAATCCATGGTGCCTCCCAGTTTGTGCCTGGTTTTTCATTTGCATAGTATGCAAAGTCTGAAATGCCCAGGACATGCAACATCAAGGGCTTATGATGTTGGATTATCTCAGGTGTGCATTCCCTGTGGCTACACCAGAGCAGTTAAGATCCTGAAATGTCACTTCACTGAGCTATAGTCACATGATTCTGGCATTGCCCAGAGGGAGCCATGGATCATGTCACCATAGGCATTTTCTCCATTTGGATCATTGTCTTTTCCTTCAAGAGACTACAAGTCTCAGTCTCCCATTGAGAACTTCTATGGAAGACATTAGAGCTCTGTATTCCTCTCTCTGGGACTCCCCTTTGGGTACAGTCTGACTTCACATTAGTAGAACAATGCTGATGGTACCAAGACCCACTGTAGAGGCTGTTTCTCTCAAAACTCTGGCTGATGTTCCTTCTAAAAGCAAATGTTTTCCAATGTTCTGGGCTGCCACAGGAGGATATTCTGATGGGAACACTCACTGTCCGTGAGAACCTCCAGTTCTCTGCCAGCCTGCGCCTCCCACAGAGTCGGAACAATGAAGCAGAAAAGCAGCTGAAGGTCAATGCCGTGATACAGGAGCTGGGGCTGCAGGAATGTGCTGACACCAAGGTTACTGTGCTATCTTTTTATAAAAACCAGTAGAGGTCACAAGTGTCTCCACAACACCCCTCACGTCAAGCAGTAGCTGCCTTATGTGTGTGCACAAGCACCTGACAGGCCCCTTTTCACACTAATGGTGACAGAAGGGTGTGATTTGGTGCGTGATTTGAGTGGCACGTACAGATTCCATCCTCTACATGCACAAGGTACAAGCAGCTTGAACAAAGCACACACAAGGATTTCCTTTTGCAACTTTGCATGTATGTCCAACTCCTCTTAGGCCAGCAACAGGGATGAAATCTGGGGCTTTCCATACTGAAGCCATGAGCTTTACCACCTGAGCTAAAGGATTGCGTCTGAGTGGGGAGTGATAGCAGATTCTCATGTTTCACATGGGCCAGTCATTACAGAGGGACAAAGTCTCACAGTCTCCTAGAAGGGGGTTACACAGTGGAGATGCAAGGCTCTTCTCCCATTTCTCTCTTCCTCCCATCCTCCCTTACCCCTCCACCTGCTGGGGAGGGAGACAGGGAGAAGAGCTGGGAGTGGGGCAGGTCCATGAAGAGAGCAACGTTATGCTTTGGTGAGGTGCACAGAGCTTGCATGTGGGCTGTTTGGTGTATGGGCTGATCCTGTTGGAGAACCATGGCTTACTTGTTTCCAGTCTGCCCTTTGTTTCTGGTGATCCTGGGAAACACAGACCAGTAAGGATTATTTCAATACTTGGTGAATTGTTTGAAATAATTACAAATGGAATTATAGAACATCCCTTGCACACGATCTTATAGGGAGAAGCCAGCAGGGCTTCTGGAGCTCAGTGTGGGGGAATGAAAGGATCAGGCATGCCCTTAGCTGTATGTTTGCCATGTGTGTCCATCTCAGATCAACCCACTCGCTACCTCCTGGATTTAAACTCACCTGCCTCCTCTCCCAAGTGAGTTCTTTGCTTGCTTTTCTCTGTGGCAACAGATTGGCACTGAGTTCCTGCGTGGCGTTTCCGGAGGGGAGAAGAAGCGGTGCAGCATTGGCATGGAGCTCATCACTGCACCTTCACTGATATTCCTGGATGAGCCAACCACGGGACTGGATGCCAACACAGCTAATGCCATCATGCAGCTGCTGCACCAGTGAGCCCTGCCCTGCTTCTGACACTCCACTCACTCTGCTAAGCAATTTCATTTGGAGATTGTCCCCTTCCTTACGCAAGCTGTCTCAGAATGCCTTCGCAAACTAATGGGTTATATTCAGCACAGGCACTGCTCAGGTATTGAAAGGGCAGGCAATGGTATGAGGTCAACAATAATGCACTCAGCCAGGCATTCTAACACCTGTTTTGAGAAGAAGCTGTAGTCTGAACACTAGGCTCACACCCGGGTCTTTTCAAATAATACTCTGTAGCATTTAGTGTCTACCTCCATTGCCCTTGGAGACATTGGCAGAAAATGCCGTAATATGGCATTTCCTCCAAAATACAGTTGTTAAATTCTAGCTGGCCTGGGATTCTGATATTCACCCATTGCTTCTTCTGTTTTGCAGACTCTCCAGAAAAGGAAAAACTGTGATTTTTTCTATCCACCAGCCACGTTATTCCATCTTCCGTCTGTTTGATCATCTAATGCTGATGAATAAAGGAGAAATCATTTATGCAGGACCAGCTGAAGAGTCCACTGGTTATTTCAACAGCATTGGTAAGAGATGGCACTGTGGCAGCGTGAGAATCACTGCTATAGGACAGCTACAAAGCAGTTTTTGTTAATGGAACCCTAAAGCTAGCAGTCAAGGTATTTAAGTGCACAAACATAGTGCTAGTAGGAGGATGCACTGTGACTAGGAGAACCTTTAACAGAGAGACAAGCAGTTCACTATTCAAGGACACCACAGAAAACTGTTTTGATTCAAATCTTAATTGCATCAGCCAATTCCAGTGTGCAAAGGCCAAGTCCACTGCTTTATAAGGGTGCTTTGCATTGCTATGCAAGAGATCTATATTTAACTCTTTGTCCAGGACTCTAATTCACAAAGACAGCAGAGACTGGGTGTTCTAAAGAAATAGTTGATACAGTGGGGGGAAACAGATGGGAAAAACATAAGAAATTGCTTCAGAGGTGCCACATGCATCTTGAGAAAGAGGGGAAAACTGGCATCAGTGCACAGCAATGTCTCTTAGCTGATCCAAGAAGCCGTGTAGATGGGCCCCAAAAGGAGTTCTGTTCACACAAGATTAGAGGATGTACAGAAGCTTGATGCATCAGGAAAAGAGACAGGTCTGTTTAAAAGAAACAAAAGGGTTGTTTCAGCTGCCTTTGTGAGATATTGTGTTGACTAGTAAGTTAGCTGGTTGAAGAGTGAAGTTGGCTGTGAAAGACTGATCTGTGAGAGCGACAGATCGATTACGTATTTTAAGAGAAGGCGGGTTTGGCAAAGGTTGGTTAGCAGGCACTAGTCTGACATGGGATGGGTTGGTTAGTCTGCATGGTGCTTTGGCTCCCTAGGTTAGTCTGGATGTTGGGCTGTACAAAATATTTGTGATGTAATTCAAACCCCTAGAAATGAAAAGTTTTGGAATTTTCTTGTTATTTTTTGAAGTTCTACTTCATGTATTTTCACATTTCTGCATTCAATATTAGGAGTATTTTTGAGTTAAAATAGGTTCATTGATCATCTCAGCATTTTTAATTGTATCAAGATAAATATTCATATTAAATGTGTGAACTCAGATTTTCACAGGTATTAATATGTAACAATCCATTTCCCCAAAATGTCAAATAAAGCAAAATTTCTGTGCCACAAAATGTCCTGAAATGAAATGTCGTATTTTGGATGATATTCAGCACAGAGCATTTGTCATTTACTCACACTGTGCATTGGACATGAGGTTAGCTTTGGTTTTCTCTCACGAAATGGTGTATTTCAGGATACCAATGTGAAGCATTTAACAACCCTTTGGACTTCTTCCTGGATGTCATCAGTGGTGAGATCATGCAGTCCCGGCCTAGTCCAGAGTTAGGTGAGTGCTGTGCAATTACATTGGCTGAGAAAGAGAGAGGTGATGGTAGAATAGCAGACAGGACAATGCCTTGCTAATCCACTTCAACAAATACATAGGAGTTGTAAAACACAGAGGTAGTCAAACTTCAGCAGTGCCCATTACAGCATTTAGCTCAGAGCCTGAACACAACACACTGGTTTCTCCTCAAAATAATTCTTGTTCCTGAATGGTGCTGATTCCCTTCTGTCTCAATCACTTGCCAGTGTTAAGCACACACAGTTGCAGTCTCGGCATAACATTTTTAGGCTACGCTTTCCCTTTAGCAAGGAGACATGCCAAGGATCATCTAATTCGCGTGCAGACTGCGGTCATTCTCTTTGCTCTTCAGTAGTGTGTCAGTGATGAGCCCAAAAATGCTGGTGTGATGATTAGCAAGCTTTGTGGCTTTTCTGGGAGTTGGCTAACACTTTCAAAATGTTTCAAAAGCAAAGTAGA